AATACGTTCAAAAGTCATCAATTAAATAAATTAAAAATCAAGCTTTGTAGTGTTGTTCTACTAATACGGAACGCAAAGTTAAGAAGGAAAAGATAATCCGCACACGTTAGATTCTCACGTACAAATTGGACAATTTTATCCGGACGACGCAAATGCGTCCTACCACGGCAAAAGCTAGAAAGAATCTCGAGGCTGCCAACCATTACGCTCGCAAATTGGCGAGAACATGTCTGCCAGAAATCCCAATGCTCGCGCGATAATTGAAGTGGCGCGATGTTCGCTTCACGCGGAATCATAAATCTCCATACCACGTCAAAATGACAGATGTCTTTTACGCAAATTCCGGCAGCACGATTAATTACGCTGTTATTCGATCACGAGCTCGTTTTGCCTGTCGACAACTATCCATCAGTCTTAATGAATATTCCGTTTAATATTTCTCGTTGCTTCGTTACTCATTTTTTCATTAAGCGAGAATTGATGGCCGTCTTGTGACATTCAATGTGTTCAGAACGCTTTGCATATCATTAGCCGCGGAAATGATTGAAAATAATACATGTTGAATGACAATTTCTTTTAAGTGGAGTGTGGTTGATCGAGTATTACAATTTTTATTAACCGAACACTGCAAGCACACGTCATTGTGTGCCGTTAATTACTTTTGCTCTTCGGAGATCGATACAATTTATGTCTAAACATGTATTATGTAATATAACGCCTCGTGAACGTTTAAATTATGTACTCACCATTGCGTATTAATTTCCAACCATGTACAATCCAGGTACAACATCCAGTCTCGTCATTGTCCCATGTCGATTACTTTTCCATCATTTCATTACATTGCACGATGCTTGCGATCACGAGCATTTTTTTATGGCGTTTAACGACTTAATAAACGTGATAAGTTTCCGTGCTTCGAAGACATATTTGCGAGTCATGAATCGCGTGTAAGCAATCACGAACAGAAATTCACGATGCTTTCAATAAAGCTGAGAATGAAGAAAAACATCCCGTTTTTTGCGGATGATTGTACTTTGTCAGTAAACGAGATTCTTGTCTCGTAAGAATTCTTTAAAGTAAAGGATAAATATATCAAATTTAAAGATAATCTCGACTAAAACGACACACAAGCCGTTACGTTAAAAAAAATTTCGAAAATTGATTATCGCGATATGTTTTATAAATGAAGTAAATTGTCCAAATATTGTGACGCAATTTTATTGCGTATTTCACACAATTTGAAACAATTAAAGGATTATATTGAATAAATAATTCAGTCAAATAATTTTGTACCTCAAATCAAATGTCGACGTGTCAAAATATTTATATAAATAAGCTTGTTGTAGAAAATTAAAAAAATATTAAGAGTGGACATATTTTTAAGAAAGAAATATTCGATGCGTTAATTTCTATATCTATATAATATCTATCAAATAACACAATCATTTAAAGGAACGATTTCTTAATTATTTCGAGCAATATATCTTGATGAAAGGCTTAAACATAAATATGCAAAACCCGGCATGTGAACACCTACGAGCTAATGAAGTAAATCGCTTTGATGAGATTGTACAAACTTGTATTAACTACCAACAAACCTATCACCTTAAATCTTTATAACCATCACCTTTCACTTTTCGTACCCATTTTTCTGACTCACCGAAATACCAGGAATTCAGGGCCGGTTCAGCTGAAATAAAAAAGTATGGTTTGTCCGATTATATACTGGTGGACTATAAATAACGGTTTAACGAAAAAAAGAGTGAATGCAAATGTATTAACTCTTAACGATCATGATGAGATGACGACTTTTACCCTGATACTATATGATAATTATATCCCAGTTTTCAATCGCGAATATTTAAATACGAGGGTACGGGAAGTCTTTGAACGTACCTTCGAGCCAACCCTGTTCGGCCCGAACCGGATCCTCCGGTACGGCATCTGCATCCACCGAAATTGCAACCTTGCGTTGTCATAAGCTCCCACAAATCTGAAACAGAAAGCAAGTTCCCTGATTAGCTATATGAATAAATGTCAACAAAGTGAAAATACGAAAGCTTCTCAACACGTCTCACACACGCTCTGAGCGACTCGTAAATCTATAATTCATGCGCTTTTATACACATATTAGGAGTACGAATTAGTTCGGTCCGTTTTTAAAAGATGGCTTTGACTGTTATGAATGTTTCATAATGACAGCTGATTTCGGTGGTTTCAGAGAGGTTAGACATCTGTCAATAATATTCAGTTTATATCGCTTTGAGTTTCATACAAAACCCCTGTTTTTGACTGTGTTGAATATGTCAAATTTTGTGTTAACTAAGCAGCATTTGCGGGAGGTTTTAGTTTTCTGCTTTAATTGGAAGAAAAGTGCAGCTGAAGCTTGTAGAAGTTTATGGTGACAATGCTCCAACTGATAAATCATGTAGAGAATGGTTTCGACATTTCAACAATGTTTAACTGACACGAGGATACGAGTTTCCTCGAGACCAGCCAGCAATTTGTTATTATCAGCTGATTACTGTAACACACATACTTATACTTTAGAGAGCGAAAAATAAAATCGGATTCTAAAAATCGATATCAGCTGCTCCATGAAGATGAATAACGGATGACTGGTCGGAACGCGCGGAATGTGCGGAATATTCATGGCTGGTTTGACCGCTTATAAGGGTTATCGCGACCTCGACATTTTCGTACGTATTAATATATCCACAACTCCAATTAAGTCCCAGAATTAAAGCATCCTACGATAATCGCGAGATACAATAAAAAATTGCCGCGAGATTTAATTCGCGAGTGACACCGAGCGATTTAGCAGGGTTTGCAAAACGCGCCGCCACGCTCTCGACTACGTGCGCCTACGTTTTGTGAGCCGCGTTCCCTCCAATTACCGATCCCCGAAACTAATTCGCGTAATCGCACGTTGCGATCGCCGATTGAGCGTGTCTCTCGACCCGCTCTCCCGATCACGCATATTTATACTCCTCGCGCGGGGATTAACATGTCAAGCCACGTCGGGCAACACGGCTGGTCCAGTTTCCGTGACCGTGGTGTTGTGTTCCGCATAATTCGGACTGTCCCTCTGTTCGGAAGGCGCGCGTGTAGCTGCATTTTTCGCAAGGTCAACCGGTCAACCTACACCCCGACGAAGCGGGAGGCACGACCTCCTCGGCGGGTCAAATTTCTTTAGGATCGACGCGGATGATTTTTCAAGCCGCGTTGAAGCTCGAACAACACGCCTCGGCCGTATTCGATTTGCATAATGCTGGCTCCTTTATCGTTCTTTTTTCACAGCTCCTCGGTAGCTCGTGACTCCCCGGTAAAGCACCGGAGCGACTTGTCATTTGAGTCCAACTACGACGGACTATACGGAAAGAAGATTGATATTTTCACGTATAAACAAGAATAGCATAAACTTCTTGGAAGATTTTTAGTTTAATTGAATTTATAGTGATTCAAGTATTACTTGAACTTAATTCAAGATTAAAAATTTTCTAAGAAAATTATAGTATTCTTACTTATATATAAGAATATCTATTCTTGATTTAACACTAATTTCTTTTCCATGTAGGGTATTGGTATTCATGGTCCGATCTTATAGAAGAAATGCACCTAAATTGACATCCCATTTGGTTTGTAAGCTCTAAAGCCTTATTAAAATTAAAATGTATGTGTATGTATATAAACTAGTAACACCTCACTATCAAAATGATAATCTTATGAAAATTATTACATATTGTCTTGCGAATAACTACTTTTTATGAGATTAGAGAAATGACGCTTTGAAAAAAAATATATAAAACTGACATATATAATATCCCCATGATACCAGGAAATTATAATAAGAAATGATATAAAAGCATCGAAATTACAATGCTTCATACATTTATTATATATCCTTACGTGTTATCTTAATCTTATATATTCTGTTTTTTATTATGTATATCACAACCATACGCGCTTGTAAACAGAAACTATTACTTCAGCCCCAACTATTACGATCACTTTCGATTACTATACAGGGTGTTACATCAGCATATTCAGCAGTATGCCGGGTTGCCGTTGCAAAGGCATATGTGACAGTGAGAACGCGCGCGTAACCAGCCTGAGTACGTGTTTTTACAGGCACAGTAGACAAAGTTCATGTACTATTCAGCAGAGTTTGGTACTTGACAGCTGAAAAATATGTATGAAGAAAAAATGAGTATGTCGGTTTGTCATACCGATATCACTTTTTGTGCTTTCCTTCTAAGATCGTTTCAAGTTCATCAGATGCTTATCAACTTCAGATGTTTCATAGCTAATGAAACGATACGTATAGTATCTGAAGATAAGCTTGAGACGATCTTAAATATAAGATCCGACTAAGAATACCGCCCTAGGACGTAAAATTGGACGATTTTTCCGATCGGCTATACCCGATATTGACCCTGACATTCGATTAGCATAATGTATTCTTCTCGTTCCACATAAATATCAAAGCGAGATGGAAATATATTTTCAGCGGCATTGTCTCGCGCGATTGTTCGCACGCTCGTGCTCACACGTACGCGAGACCATATTTATTCCCGTCGTTAATCTCGTGTGACGTTAATCATCGCATCATTATCTATTCCGTGAATAACGCTTCCCTTTCATTGCGCTTGTACGTTAAACGCTGAGATGTTTGTCTTTGACGTGCACAATAACGCACGTCACGCCAAAGGACGCGCGCCCAAATGAGAACTAATTGGACGAGAGCTCGATTTACATAGCGCAATCAGCGCGAGGATAAGCTCCGCGTTCTTTCTCACATATGTAGCAAAATCATTGGCAAAAAGTGTACACATTTAACGACTTATCTACGCCACGTTGCATTCTCTCTCTCTCTCTCTCTCTCTCGTTCTCTTCCTCTCCCTCTGTCTCTCCATTTTCTCTCGGTTACACGAATCCATTTATATCCAAGCAAATTAAGAACGGCACGTCAGCGGATTGCCTTGATTTCTCGTTTGCAGGTGATAGATGAGGTACTTGGTGAAACAAAACGCCTGTGCCAGACGATCTTGAAGACGTGTTCGGCGTTAAGCTTCTTAAATTTTGCAGTCACCTCACTCTTTGTTGCCGCTCGCGAAAAATATATTGCGGAATCAGGCGAAGTCACTCCGGACGATTTGTTTTAGCGGATGAAATGCCGGGCAAGGTGCTGGATAAAGTAAAACTTCAATTAAGTTAATTGGCAGCGGAGAGACTAGATATAACAACGTGTCTCCTTCAATTTGACAAAAATGATGCTTATCGGCGACAGTGAAGTAGCGCTGCGCTCTCGAGAGGGAGCCCTTAGGTAAGATCGTCGAGCAAATCGAGATAATATATTCTTAAAATAGGACGTCCCCTACACGAAAAATGCGATATCAAACGATAATCACCCGCGGCGACAATGATCGTAGGGAGGCGGCGGTAACGCGTAACAATTAATTAGGATAATCCACAGATAAATATGTCCATGCACTGTCAGGATATTCTCGCTCCGAAATGCGCCGTTAATGCGGAGCGAGGATATTAAAAAGCCATCTTTCTTAGAAATGTGTCTCACACTCCACGTGACATCAGTTGTCATACCGTGCGTTTCGTTTTCGAAATTCGCGAACGGTCGCGAAAATTTCTCTAATTAACGAGATCTCGTGAAGAAATCGTGGAAGGTGGTTGGAAGTTAATTAGTCGAGATCAAAATCGACGATAATAAAAGTAATCCAATCACCTTGGTACGCGCCTTGCGTTTAAGAATAAGAATAAAGAATCGCGAATGACTCGGGCTTTACTGTAAATTCAAGTGTTTGCGCAATCACTTGGATTCATATTTCTTGTAAGATAATGTAATAAATACAAAGAGAGAGACGAATAATCGCAGATTAATGAAACTATAATTACTATTATTTGTTAAATGATGATACATTATAAATGTCAGTCTAAATTTCGAATCGAACATTTCTTTATTCTCGACAAATTCGTCGAACATCTGTTAACATCGAAAATTACTTGTACATGAATGCTTTTACATACCTGGAAATATGTGATAATATATATCACTGAATATATCACTGTCCATTCCGATTTAGCATCCTGGCTCCTGTTCCATTGTAATATTCCAGATATTCATTCATGGCACTCGCGTGAACACAAGAGGCACTTTTATCAATGAAACAGGTCTATTGATTTTCGCTGCACCGCTGAACTAGTGCAATAAGTTGAAGTGAAAAAACATATACTTGTCTCGCTTCAACTAGTGCAGCGAAAACGAACAGACCTAGAGTTCAGAATACCAGCGAACGGAAACACTCAGAAGGGTCTGTAATGCACGAGGTTATGTTTGACTGCCTTGAAGGACCCGAGTGTTTTCAGAGTGTTGATTGTTATTACAACGCGCTGTCGACGGGCTCACGTTTGTCGATTGGCGGCAGGCGAAACAGCACTTTTTGCCCGTTGTTATGGTATTCTCGCGCGTCGTGAGACGTTTGACCATACCGAATCGTTTCGAGCCGACGAACGACGCGCTTTCAATCGATTCGCATGAACAAGTGTTGATTAACGCGATAACGACGAAAACTTCGGTCACTTTGCGCGCGTACTTTTGGCGCCAACGTATCGACGACTAGATGGCCGACAAGTATCCCTTCACAGCAGGCTACCGTAGTGACGCCTCACGGACGACTTCCGTGTGACCAATTAGACGTTGGAACCGTAGCTTGATGTTGCAGGTCAAGGAACTCTAGCGGAATGATCGTTGGCCATCCTAGGGTGCGTTCTACTTTACGCTCGCGACGAATTCACAGACGCGTGTGCCAGAACGGTCCAGTGTAACTCGTCACACAGTGTTCGATGCCTTAGAGAAATCGGAGAAAGACTTATATCTTCTAAACTAATTTAGAGTATAGGTTATATATTGACAACTGTACGCTATGCAGTGCAATGAGAATCAGTGCTCTGGCAAAGAATCTCAGCCGACGTGCCACGCACGTCGTTTCTGTGACAATTGCCTGACGACGTGTATACCACATCGTTGGCAATTTTGCGACAAAAGCATTACGACGTGCGTAGCACGTCTTTCCAGCGCAAGTGGAATCTGCCTCTTGTCATCACTACGAAACGCGCGAAAAGTACGCGGCTCGTTGTGCGCAAAGTAACCGAATTTTCATCGGTGTCGCGCTAGAACGACCTTCTAGTATCATCTTGTATTTTTAGGTATGTGTGAAATCATTATCTGATAACTATTGACAGGACAATAACTATAACAGGATGTTTCCGACTTTAACAGACGTTTGATGAGCTCATTGAGAATGGGATTGAGTCGAAATTTAGAATCTAGTGTGTCTCTTATACTGAGATAATCGAACGTTAAATAATTTTTAAGTAAATATTTTTCCAAGCTACGAAAAATAAAAAATGGCCAAAGTGAAACAAAATAACTTGTAGCATAAAAATTTTGAGACTCGTTTTACAGAGTAATTGCATAGTAATTACAGAGAACATAAAAAATTAAATATTATTGGTTGGAAGAAAAAAATCTTTTTACTGAACTTTTATCGAAAAACGCTAAGAATTTTCTAGCCGAATTAACATACACTTCCTCATAATTAACGTAAGAATTATATATACAAGGACCTAAATGTGCGAAGTCGTTTTATGTGTGCACTATGTACACATTTACATTAATCGGAAGTATACGTTTTTACGCACTTTGTACTATGTATCGCATTACACACGGTGAAATGTATGAAATTACTCGTTTAAATGTGTGAATCTATTATTTTATACGGGGAAGTACGCGATTTTTACATGGAAAATCAAATCACACATCTAATTTTACACAAGTATATGTTTACCACACATTTAGATTTGTGTGCAGTGCTAAAGGAAACGGTCTGCAACGAATAAATTTCAGTAGAGAGAACGAAAACAGAATAAGGAGGAATTCTGTAATTTAAATTCATATATTCTCGGGCCTTCTGTGCTGCAACACGTTAATTCAAGTCGTCAGTGAACTTAATGGCCTATCTGAAATTGTTGGAATGAAATTTTATAGTGTTCGACAGACAAGAATTTCGTTTTATACGTAGAGGGAAAAAGAGAAAAAGAGAGAAAGAGAGAGAGACTATCGTTAAGAGCATATATTCCTTGAATGCCGCGGGATGGCTAGGACGGCTGAAAAAGCTTACATGATCGTGTTTAAATCCGTTCAAGTCTTCTAAGACTCGTATGATAATACGGGACAATTTTTCTTACATTATTTGCGTCGCGAGGACGGAGGCGCGAGCAATAATCGTAATTTCGGCGTTTCATGGCCCCGTAATTCCCTGGCGATGTAATCGTTGTCAATGCGAGCCTAATCGAACATGTACGAAATTACCGGTGCAACGATGATGGTTTACCGTATCGTACGTTACTTCTATGATATTCGAACGAAAGAAATCCGGCGCTTTAATTGCGTGCGATGGAAAATTTATGCGTCATCACTCCCATTCTTGCGTGATTCGCGGCAATTTTCACTCCGAGTAAACACAAAATAAGCCGCGATCACAAAGTAAGCCGAACTAAATGGATTTAAAGGGCCTCTTAACGAGAATTACGTTGTCCCTCCGCGACACACGCAGTGTGCATTTTATCAGTTTCAGGCGCCAAAGCCGCTCTTGTAACCGTCTAATAATCCCTAATTGGCAGGCAAGCGGAATCGTAAACGCTCTGATTTATCACAACGAGAATTTCGTGTATAGTTTTATTTACAACCGATAAACGCCCACGCGCGACGGCCCGAAATGGCCATGCCGCGAACGGATCGATAAAAGTCTCCTCCTGTCTTCTCTTTCTTTCATTCCGCAATGAACGTTTCGTGACGTAAAGGAAAAGCACGAAAATCGATGTACCATTTCGTTTTTGGGCTTTAAAGTCTTGCTTGAAAGTGTAAAATTAAAATTTATGTGCATGGATGGAAACCAGAAGAACTTCTTTATCAGAATATATGATAGTCTTGTGAAAATTATTACATATTTTCTCTTGCAAGTAATTATTTTTTAAGATATTTGGAGCTTCTAGGAACTTCTAAGCCCCAAAATTTCTCGGGAATTAATTGGGATTTAGTCCGACACCCCAAAATAATTATGGATTCTATTATATTGAAAAAATACTAGATGGGAATCCATATAAGAAATCTATATGGAATCCCATGATTGCATCTGCGCGAAAAACTTATGTAACAATCCATGTGGAATCCTGTATGAATTTTTGCACACCATGTGGATGTCTATATGGATTCTCACCATAAAATCCCTATATGGATTTTTAATATCCTATATCAATTCCCATGAGTTCCGTGAGAATCCATCTGGAAATTTTCAACTGAGTGCGTGCGCGCGCAACTGACATCTTTTTCGGGCGATTAACAACCTCTAATTGGCGACCTCATAAACGCGCGAATCGGTACTGATATATCGTCGACGGCGCGCTCGCGCGAAGGCTCGTTTATTTGCGCGAGCGCGCGCCCGGTGCATTGAAACGCAGGTGCGACTTAATTACAAACGAAATACCGCGTCTGTCCCGGGCCGAACAATAATTGGCTCCCGATTATGATGTATCGGGACGAAATAATTTGAATAAAGGTCTCCGAGGAGACCGGCCCGCGCAGAGGCCGCCTCCGCCGCTCCGTGTGATTCATCCTTGATTCGAGTGCTGACCAACGACGAGTAATTGTAGCTCCGGTTAGTATTATCTCCGATACGGGAACCTTGAAGATAGCCCCCTTCAACAGTGTCGGAAATTTTCGTTATTTACGCTCGCGCCGTTGTAAATTACGCCGGCGATACGTCGGCCGCCGCCGCAGATGGCCGTCGACGATACAGGAATAAATGGCACCTGACTCGTTACTGAGAAATCATGCAACTGGCATGGCCACAATGTTAATCGAGCCGCCGTGTTATACGGTTAATTACGACGCCGGGCGCCGTGCTCACATGGGTCGAAACTCTCTCTCTCTCTCTCTCATGTAGTAATCGAGCCCGGGCTACCATCTCTTCTTTGGCTCGCCACACGCTGCTACTTGAGATAGATACAAAATCGTAATTACCCAGAAGTTATGTCCGGGGATCATTACCTTTTGATTTACGTTAACACCGACGTCACCGAGGAAGGGGAAGGCAACTTCTTAAATCATGCATGAATCATTTTGAATCTAGCAGTACTGTTTCTGCGTGACAGTGAAACTGTTTTTGCTCGAATTACAAATAATTCGTTAATTCTCTCGTTAAGTTAAAAATTTATCGCAACGAGTACATATGCGATGGTTTCGCTTACAAGAGCAGAAATATTTCTCCCCGCGTTTTCTTCTGTTCAAGGATAACGTCGTGCAATTGTAACGAATTGCGAGAGAAGGCGATAGTTTGCCGGCTGGAATCCTTCGCGAAAATGAGTGGAGAGGAGCGAATGAGAAGTCCGAATATTCACCGTCGGAGTCATTCTTTCCCGCGACCGTCGTTGCTTCGCCCGACGCCAATTCTCTCCGTCGAAACGAGATGCGCGCACCGATGCCAGGCCGCTTAATTTTTTAATATGACGACACTTTGACGCTTATGGCGTTCGGAGTTAACGGGCGCGCATGAGATACGTACGGCGGGACATGCGATGAGATAAAATAAACAGAATGCGCGCGCGAATGATAATTGCCCTTTCATTATACGTCAGCTTAATCTGTTTTATGTGACGCTTCAATTTCGTATATCATACCCGCGAGGCGAGCGCGCGCAGCGGGCGCATGAAAAGTACGGAATGACCGGGCAATCAACATTCGCAAATTAAAACGAAGAACAGGGCGGATATTGATATACGAGCACGAGCGCTGTCATTTTCATCATCGCAAGAGACAGGCTGAAAGCTATCGCGCATCAAGATACCGCTATTAGAGAGACTGCTCTAATTCTTAGTATCATGAAAATGTAAATTTAGAATACTTAGATCTCCTTCGAGTTCAAATTTAAAACAGAATATTTCAATTAAGATCTCAGAATACTGCGAAATTAAAAAAAAAAAAATGCCACCATCATTGTTTTATTTATACGGTGTAGCGCATTACTGGTTTTACTATTTCACCACAACAAATAAATGGATGTAGAGTCGATTTTTTCTGAGACAAAAATTAGATTAAAAGTTATCTATTTTCTGTTTGAGAAATACAAATCGACCCCTTGAGCCTGCCAACTGACCGCCTCTTGCGGTAAAGCTGACGTGGAAGTCTGAGGCTGGGTGCTTTCGCCGCGTTCTCTCGGACGTCGCAGTGTCGATACCTTACAGGCCAACGACGAACTTCGTGCTCCCTCGCCAAGTATGCAAAAGACATTGACGGTCGCACATAGTAGCGACCCAATGTTATCTACACTAGAGACGGACGATCCTGCATGAGAGAAACATCGTTTAAAACAATAGTAATTTCTGATAATCGATTAAAAGCACTGTAAATAATCCAACAACTTTGAATCTCTCCTCGTATCTATTTAATAAATGATAAATTATTATTGGTGATATAAATAAATAATGTTTACAAACCTGTCGAAGAAAGAAATTCAACGTCAAGTCAAGAATTGTTTCTTATTTCCGGCCAATATGACTAAGTCGAAAGTAATTTTTATTTTTAAATAATACAAAGATGCATCAAGTAAGTTCCTTTATTTATCTTTCAGTCGTATGGCCGAACAGAATTAAACTTTAGTCTATATTTAGTAACCAAGAATTGCATTATACTGAACATTTAAAATTCAAGTAGGACAAGTCTCAAGGTAATCTGAATAAATATGCACGTAGTGAAGGTAGGTAGGAGTTACATATCCAGGGATGTTTAGCGGTGAAATTAAGTAATATTGAATTTAAAAACTTGACATTGGGAATATGATCGAATTTGAAATGTTAAGGAGATAACTGATAGATCCGACGTCTGGTGCAAATTATTTATCGTCATCTTGAATTCAAACCTAACTTCATTCATCTCGGGCTTTATTAATTTCATTAATCAAACAATATTAATTACAATAGTATAACGTCATTGTTAAAGGTGTTTTATTATTATCTTAAAAATGAGTAACATTTCTCTCTCAAATATGCTCTGCCAAAAACAAATTTATTTATAGTACTGTAAAAGAAATGTTATAATAGTTAAACATTAGAAACGCAACGAACGGAATATTCTTAAATCATACTTATGCAATATCTATTAAGAAATGGTCGTACGCAATAGATCGATGTTGCGAGCGAATAGCGGAATAACGGAATTGAAATTACTTTTGGTCTTGGAATTGCCATACCGATTTGCGGAATTTTACGGAAAGCGGATGTTCATTGTCTTCATCGGCATGATCATCCACGTGGCAAACCGTCGCGTAAGAATTACACCTTACGATACACGCAACCATGTTGCATAAAAATAACGAGTGTGACATGCGATCAATAGGATAGGCAATAAACTCCCTAGTTGCGGCTGTCAGTCAATTGCGACGGAATCCCGTCCTCTTTGTTTGCTATTGCTCGAATATAAATTCCGGAACACTGTCCTTCCATACTTTCACCACAATATTCTATAAAAGTATTACAGTCGCGATGTTTTCTTTATAATAAATCGTTGTTCTTGCGATAGAAAAAGCAATATAAAAAGATCACTTTCCCGAAAAAATTGTCCGAATAGCGAGATATAAACTTTTCTGGGAATTTAACCCGTTGCGATTTTATGTCGAGTGTCACTCGACGTAAGCGTTTCGTTCCAGCAAGTCCTATGACGCGACAGAGTCGACAGAGTCTTCATCGTACGCTAAAAGAGATAAGATAAGGTGTAGCATCATAAATGTTTTCCAAAGTAAACTGTACCAAGCGGATGAGCGATTGGCAAAATCTGTGCGGACCGGCTAGGACGAAATCGCGAATACAGCGCGGACCGCAACGGGTTAATGATAGAAAAAAAGGTTCAATTTCCGAAAAGTGAAGGACATTTACTAAGTTCCACTAAAAATTCGATCACTTAAGAACATCGTCAATCCGGGCACGGATTATTATTTGTGACGGTGTTATTGAATCCAAAGGATAATTAGAGGCGTAACTATCAGTGCAATCGACGTTAATATCTTCATACCGGAGTATTCTCACGGACAAAGTACCAGTCGTAAGACGGAAAAAGCGAAGTAGGCTTCACTATGTTGCGCCGCAATTCCGCATCGCCCTTATTACTGCCACGCTAAATGTCAAGAAATTCTCTTATATGATCGGGAAAGTTCTGGGTTAACCTGACGATTCGTACATAACCGCGTGCACAATCAAAATATGAAATTGCTAGGATATTGTACGCCGCTTTTTCCAAACCCACAATATCACAGCGAAAATATTCAGTTAGTCGACCAAGCCCACTTGTTCATATGCAAGCAGCAGTCTGGCAATTCACTTACATATTAAGGAGGAAACACATTTTTATATAATGAAGCATATATATATAATGAATGATTTGATATATAGTATTTGATATATGAATGAATAATCAAGTATTTATATTAGAGGAGCACAAACATAAATTCCTACGAGGTAATTTCCTACTATACTTGGTATAACTTCCAACATAAGAGAATTTTATTTTTTAAACAGGCGGAATATATAATTTTATAAGTAAGAAAAGCATCATATATATTTAATTATTGAATCAATAAAATATTAATAAAAGAGTTATCGTGAGTATTATTTAGCAATTCATCACCTGCACCGGATGTTAAGTCCGCGCAATGAAAACCCTAGCATCAGAGTTCTCGGCGTTGAAATCTCCGGCGTGGGAGTCTCCGCTATCGAACTCTCTCCAGCGAATAATAATATTCTGTGATCGCGCAGACGACTTTGAGAAGAAAATACAAGAGAGCCTTACACCACGAGAGAATGCATTTCCGAAAATCAAGGGCACATTGCGTGGTCAAGGGCTTCTGCTCATTGACGCCGCGTTGAGGTTGCATGTCTGCCAGTCATTTAAGCAATGTCGAGATGGTATTACTTATCGTCGATCGCAATATGCATCTCGCAAGGTAATATATAATTTCTCGGTTGAATTTCGCTCTCCACACGCAAAGTAATAATAATGCAAAATTATTATAACACAACCTTCACTTATTCGATTATTGTAATAATTATTAATACGAATACCCACAAAATGCAAATGTTATGCCTAGCCATTTATTGATATGCTATTTGTAATTGCATAAATATATAATTGCTATTTATGATTCGAGCAAGCAGAAATACAGCTCACATTTGCTACGCAAAATCAGAGTGATTGCCCTTTTGAATTTCGACCGAACATTCTTAACTATTCGTGCTGGAAAGTTCAGAGGAGACCGGCAGTACACTCATGAATCATTACGTATAATGTAATTTTCACCTGCGGATATCGTGAGAACGCCTGGGTTTATCACAACAAATGCCGATTATTATCACCAATTCGTTGCCGTTACCGGAATTCGCGCGTTATACAACCGGGGATTTAAGACGAGGAGCGCGATTGCGCCATATATTATGAATGAAAATTGGAGGAGCGTAAGAAATGTAACAGAAATTTTCAACCTCTTTGTGTGGCGTATACGCGTACTCAGATCGGCGTTCAGGTTGAGGCGGAGGTCGGGCCCATGGGCGGGCCCCGCCGCTCCCGAAGGGGACCTATATAAGTAGACCCGCGCAGCGTAAAACGCGATCCTACAACACAATCGCTTCTGCTTCATCAACAACCAGACATGCGTCCTCCTGTGAGTATCATCTCGCTCCTTCTTCTTCTCTTCTCTCTTCAATTTCACTCTCTCTCTCTCTCTCTCTATCTCTCCGTGACGCGGTGAGCGCTGACACAATTAAAATTAATTGATTCTTAAAGAGAAAGACTGAATCTTAACGATCTGATAATTATGTGAAGTGCATAGAAATATTTCTACTCTGTGTTTGAACTTGTATTAATTGATTGAGAGATTTTAAATATTGCAAAAATTATAATAATCGCTCCTTAACTGCACTGATAATGTTTAATCGCTCTCTTTCTTAAGGATCGTCTACAATAGCCGTAAAATATGCAGTGAGACATAAACGTTAAGCTAATTGACCCACAGTCGAATTATTCTTGGACTGTAAGAATCCAACCGATCGATTAGCTTATTACTTACGTCTTAATGCATACTTCACGACTATAGTAGACGGTTCTTTAAGAAGAAATATTTGAATAGGTTGCAATCAGTTTGTTATTTACGAAACGAGGTTTGCGTTTCTTGTGAAGAAGTGGGTTGACGCGTCGAGGAGTGCTAAAATTTCATGTAGTGCTCTTTGTTCGTTGAAGAAAAAAAAGTCGGAATGATAATAAGAGAACGCGTTATTGTCGCGCCGCTTCAAGCATCGACTTTTCGCCGATGCGCGTACGAGCGCCATTGGGAAAACTATTCAAGTGCCAACATTTTTATGCAAATTCGTGTCACCAGGTGCTGTTACTGCTGTTTTGCCTCGGCCTTGCGGTCGCCCAGCACAATCAACCGTATCCTGTGACGACACCAATACCTATCTTAAAACAGATAAACAAGTGAGTATTATATCGGTTTTACGTAACCGCATGAAAGCGTCATCGAACTTGGCGCAACTTAATGCAACGAGTATAGTGGGCGGTAAGAAGGCTGCAGCACATTTCTGCCTGATATGTAATTGGAATACACGAAAATCGTGCGGGCGATCGCACAACTTTCACTCGTTCTTGAATTCATGAAATTAATAAGTGTCGTAATCTTTTTGTCACCGACTATACCTTCAAGTATCATGCGTTGTAATGATTATATTATCATAAAAATTATAACACAATGCTGTTGATGGTCAATACCAGCGTCGGAAGAATTAATAATAACGAATAACGCAACGGAATGACAAAATAACGCACAACATAAAGAATAACAATGTAATAACGAATATCATAAATTTTTAGACACTGAACTATAAACATCAACTAACAATAACATTACAACAATGTAATTTATTTTCCACTCAGCAATGTGTAATTATTGTGCAGAACGCATGTTACATCTCTGACTGAGAAATGATAACATTGATGTAACATTACTGTTAGTTTGTGTTTACTGTAAAAACAATATTTCATTGATATTTCTAAAACAATTAAATCAAGCTTTTTTACTACATTTCGTTACCAGTACTTCAACCTTCGTTACTTTATGATATTATTGTTATATAGCTCGGGCAAACGCGTGCAGAAAAATGCGTGCAGAAAAATTCACTAAGTTCCAAATACAACGTTAATTGTTATTATTATTATTATTAAATATAAAATTATTTTTTCTCAGGCACAACGAGGACGGTAGCTACAGCTACGGCTTCGAGGCTGCGGACGGCTCGTACAAGATCGAGTCCAAGTATCCGACCGGCGAGGTCTACGGCAAGTACGGCTTCGTGGACGACACTGGGAACGTACGTGAGATCGAGTACGGCGCGTCCAAGCGCGGCTTCGAGCCGGCCGGTCCTGGGATAAACGTGCCCCCGCCGACCTTGACCGACAACAGCATCGCCGGCGCGAACGATGACGACGGACAGTACCGCGAGGACCCCTCGGTCTATCATACCGACCCGCGCTTCACCAACGGCGAACGTTACAATCCCGCGCCTAAGTACGGACGACAACAACAACAGCCGATCGCTTACAGTCAGCAGCAGCAGTTCCCATCGCCAACTTACAATCAACCGACAAGGTGCAGTATCGGAATGAACTTTGACACCGCCCGCTCTCGACCTTACTTTCAACGCGAGAGTCTTCGTAAAGAACAAAGTTTTGCTGGAACTGCAAATAGCTTGTTAACATAGTGACAGCGGAAAGATTTGTTACATGGAGAAAATAATTTTGCTATCATGACAAACCGTCGTTGCAACAACGATGAAATTTTACTCAGTTGACATAACCAAACCAAACTGTCCATATATCCAGCGAATAGCAATTAATACTCTTAACAAATCTTTCTACCGTCCCAACAAATCTTTTTGTTGTCACTATATCAACAAACAATTTGCTGCTCCGACGAAATTCGCTTTCTCCGTATTCGACGAAGTCCGAGTCGACTTTTCGCTTCGCGATGCCGCGATCAGTATTTGAAACCTACAAATTCAAGTCGAAATGCAGGTTCGATCGTGAGAATGTCGCTGAAAATTTGACAATGAGAAGCCGTTCGGCCCATTTTTTCGATTTCTCACGACAATTTGCCAAGAGTTCGCCGATTTTTCTTCGTACCCGCTATCTCAATCGAACCATCTTGAATCGGTGTGCGCGGGAAGCTCGGCGAGAGGGAGAAAAGTGCAAAGAGAAAGAGAGAGGGGGAGAGATAACGAGCGTACTAAATGTCAAGTGAATCACTGGAAAGTACCGTCGTGACTTGCTCAACTTGCCGGGAAATCGGTCGCGCGTCTCGGCGGGAATGGAATCGAGTCGATTAACCCAATTCCCTCATCTTTTCAGGTATAACGCGCCCGTCAATTACCAGCCGGCAGCCATGAAGTTCCAGCCGGAATATCAGCCGCAGTATCGATCGCAATACCAATCACAGAATCAAGGTCAGCAGTTGCGCTCCGCAGCGTATCCTTCGCCCGCGATTCCGGTTGCTCCCCAAGGACACGCCGCGACCAATATCGACGTCAACGCCGGCTTGGCATCTTACACGGTTAATTACAAATGATGAACGAAAAAGGGAAGGAAGGGAAAGAGAGAAAGCGTGTACATACGGTATTATTTATAAGTATTCCGAGTCGTTGTTGTAAATGTTCATTTAAGAAGATGCCATACTTGAAAATTTCACCGACAGAATACTGATTTTTTTTCTGCAAGGTCTACGTCTTATTGGTTGCACAGAATTGTAAATGTTTTTACTCAGCAAAAGCACGCCCGAAAATGAATAGGAGCATTGCTCAGTATGTAGCGGAAATGATAAAAAGTTTCAAATTGACATCTGTAGCTGCGAATTAACATAAATATTTATCTGATACGAAAATCCTACAGCTTGTGCATTAAGAAAAAAGTTTATTTATAGGATATAAGATTTATTTCACAGAAATATGGTTTATTTCTATCAAATAAAACTTCTGTGAAGTAAATCTTATATCTTACAAATAAAATTTCAAGTACTTTTTCCCAGTGTACGCGCCGGATGTGTCAGTGCTTCAATCGGGAAAATTTCAAAGAATATTTTTATATCATTCCAATGAAACTGAGAAGCCTAAAAGAACACGAAAAGTTTGCAGAAAAATATCCATACATCTCGATTAGATTCTCCGTTAGATATGGTAAAACAAAACAGTATATTCATCTCGCGTTCACATTTATGTCGCACTTACGTTCACGCAAGATGTTTAAATGCACAAGAAATGCAAAAAGAGCAGTGGGATCGCGTCAATGTAACATAATATTTTGAGGATTGTCGCTACGTTATCGACGCTTGTCATCGTCGACTTTGGCATCCTCTTAAGCATCGTGCTTAATTAATTAACTAACGTCGCCGGTCGAGATATCTCGCACGCTGGGTCGTCACTCATGAGTTTACCAATCGGTACGACAACTACACTACGCACTTACGATTACTTTTGAGATTTACACTTTACGTCGCTTTGTCTTTCGTTTTTTTTCCCTCCGGAACGGGACTTTCTACCTCTTGTTCTCTGACTCGTTTCCTCTACCTCTCCCGCTTCGCGCGGGAGCTCCTACCTCTTTCGTCGGTAAATTGTATGTACCGTTTCTATGATTTATCTGATTTCCACTTTCTTGACTCGCTTAATGTCTCAGTTACGTTTCCTCGTCCAAAAGCAGGTCAAATACTTCCCACTTGCACGTGTTAGAATCTGCGTCTGCGGTCGCGAAGGACCTTCGAGGATTACGTTCGCGCGTATTGCACTTGACTAGTGACTCGAGAGAGAGAGAGAGATTCTATCCACGCGCTTAAGCGCGCAATATACAAGGGGAGACCCAAAAAAACCGGATTTTTTGTATAAAAACTTTATTTATTAACTTTTTTACAAAATTCCTTCAGTCACCTTCAAAGTACTCTCCATTAGATGCGATGCATTTGTCAAGTCTTTTTTCCCACTGTTTGAAGCATCTCTGGAACTCTTCAACTTTGATATCGTCCAGTGCCCTTTGCGAAGCTGTTTTTACCGCCTCCACATCATCAAAACGTTTCCCTTTTAGATTTTTCTTCATTCTCGGGAACAGAAAAAAGTCGCACGGGGCTAAGTCTGGTGAATACGGAGGGTGAGGAACGACAGGCCATCCCCGAGAGGCCAAATAATGGGTCACTCGTAAGGCCGTGTGTGCGGGGGCGTGATGAAGGAACCTGATCGCCAAATTTCCGTGCGTTTCCTCCGCACATCCTCTCGCAGACGTCTTAAAACTTCCAAATAAAAGTACAAAATTTCAAACACACTGTTTGTTCTTTTAAATTTGCCATAACGACTTCGCAGGCGGAAAAAAATAACAGTAAGAGAGACACAACACTACGCTGAAACGTAAACCTACAAACTGACACCGTCTGTTTCGTGAAGGTCTCTACTAACCCCATGTAGCGGGAGAACTCTCTACTACGTCTACGAATGGCAGTGCGCTCTCAGTTCGGTTTTTTTGGGTCCCCCCTCTCATTCGATGCGCGAACGCATCCTCTAAGGCAAATAAGATGTAACCGTTAGATCAATAGCGCTCTTGACGATCCGACGGACACGATTGAACGGCACGGATCGACCCTGCAATGATATCGAGTCACTCGAGACCAACTTGTCAGGTGCGAAGTGATACTCGGCAACAAATTCCATTTGCCAGATGCGTGCTCTATTAATAGAGGCGTCTTGCGCGTCCACTTAATGCCGTTGAAAATGTACAGGTAAATATCTTTTCTCGTGTATCAAGAGCGCCGTCGGCCTGTTCTCGACACACCCAAGAATTTCACCCGCGCTCTTATCGTTACGTAATACCTGCGGGACCACCTTCGTAAAGATACTACCTTCGCACTCGGCCTTTTACGAGCGCAAGATTGAAATTTATACGCATCGAATCTCCGCCGTATTCCGTCCCCGTCGGCAATTCCCAATGCATTAATCGTTGTTCTGGTATTTATGCTCATCTTAACGCGTATAGGAAAGTATATTTTAATTTTTCACTTCTCCTGTAAGAAAAAAAACAAATATAAATGTTACTATGAAATAGTTACTATGAGATTGCTGCAATTTTAATCCGTTATACTGTTTGTGTGTGTGTGACGAAAAGTATATATAAAATTACGGAATTTATTATTACGGAACTTTTTGACTCACTAATATGTCTTATGAAAATAATTTCGATGTGAGAATAACGATTTAAAGTAACATATATAACCCAGAGAACGTTAAGGGCCAGTTTCACAACTTCCGATTAACTTAACCGACCGGTTCACCTTAACTGGTTATTTCTGGTCAATTCTGCTCAACGACAAATACGACTGATCGATTTGAATGGAATAATCAGCGAATTAAATTGACCGGAGGTTATGAAACTGGCCCTAAAACGTCTTAAGACGTCATAAAGACGTCTAAACGATGTCTCCAAGATGTTTTTTAGACATACATATTGTGTGGAAAGTTAAACTTGGTATATGATACGAGAGGAATAAAATATTGAATAAATATATAAATAATAATAAGTAAATATATAAATATTGATTAAAAGTCACTGTACAATGTACGTCGTTCTTCGTTGCGGTATTAATTCAATGACGATATCTCGCGCATTCTCGTGTGGGTATAACAAGGAACTATTGACTATCGTGTCGCCTTCGCGTCTTAACTTCTGGTTTGATCCTAAACCGCACGCATAGAGGTTACACGTTGCGCATACCTGACACACATGGAGAGTGCCACGGATCACCGCCCAAGTCCACCTTTCACAATATAATCCGCGATCTCGATCCCGCTGCGCGATTGGCGCCGATCGAGCTTACACGTGTGAATCGAGGTTCCCGAGCGGAAAGTTTGAGAGATAGCTCCTTCTGCTTCCGGTTTTCTTAATCCTTCTTTCTCAAACAGCATACTTATTAAAAAAAATATTCCATGTATTGAATAAATATATTTAAAAAATAATATTAAAAAATAACACTTTTGCAGTTTATAATAAGGTAATTCAAGTAATAATATTACGTAAAATTACACACACATTGTTTATAATAAAAAAAAGAAAAAATATATATATTTCATCTACGATATCACGATTTTATATTGCATGCAAATTGTGAAAAGCATGTTGCACTGAAAGCGCATGGAAAGTTCACACATATTTCACAACGACGTTCGATTGTGAAACAATCCTTGATGGGAGAAATACGCAGGTTACGCACAATGACTTGTCGTCTCTGATAACGACCGAGTTTTTTTCCATTTCCCCACTACCGATATACATTTGATCGAATGCGCGGTTTCGCGATTCCGCGTTCACTCTCTCGAGACACATTCTGATGCAAGGCGTGGTGCGACGGTCCGGTGCGCCAGATGTCGGTAGAACTTGCTTTCCTTTGCCGGCGTAATGAACATGTATAACTTTCCTCTTTTCGTCGCGACTACGTAATTATAAAACGACTTGCGCTGAAGTTGCTCGAGCGGCATTTGCATCTCTCATTAGAGCATAATATTAAAATAATGTAATATTCGCGGCGTAAATGTAATATTAAAAAAAAAGATTTCCGCTCTAGTTTTCTTTTTGTTTTTGTTTTCTTTTTTCTAAATCTCCGCTTCTAATCTGTATCTCGAGATGCGCTGCAGTGCGTTGCGCTCGTAAATTGAAGCGCACGAGGAACCAACTGGGAGAGGAGTGTTTCGTCACGTATGAACGGCCCCGGTGATTATTCGCGCAATTGAAAATTTACACGCGCGTCCTTCAATAAAATGCGCGCACGAACGCGTATGCGTCCTGCTTGTTTCTCACTCGTTGCATGGAACTTGCAACGCATTTAATTAACGTGCGAAGCCGCGTATCTCCTTTATGAGAAGCTCGCTCTCTTCCTGATTATCGTTGGTATCCAGTTGTGCGGGACCAATTTGCTTATTTATCATGCAACTTTCGATTTTTAACAATGGACAGCTTGGTTGGAACTACATATTGATAAAGCGCGAGCAATTCCAGCGAATTCTTTTCTCTGCTCTTCCGATGTTACAACAGACGATCCGTCTTTCTTAGGAATCCGTTTAAACTTGAATTGCATATTGATGAAAGTGCTATCCGCGCGTTTGTAATGTTAGAAAACGATTGGCCGTTCGAAAGCTGAGATATTCGCACTAAAATATTTTTTTTATAAGTAAATGATAAATTGACGAAGGGAGACCCATTAATATCGCCGCTGGAAATCGGACACTACGGGCATCCAACGGGCATCTTGAATTGACGATATCGCAACGCGACGGAATAATTCTACGAAGAGGTCATTCGAGAAGAGATATTATCATACCGTTTTCGGACTCTCGACGCATATCTCGTGACATAAAATGCCGAATAAGAGGTGAGCGAATTTATACGCGCTCGTATCAGCCGGCCCAATTTCGAACACGCGCGCATGCTAGGACAGTGGCCGAACGACTTTTACGTTTCAGACAGTCCAGTGCTAATCACATCACCTTCTCTTATAGTAAGTACCAACCACGTTAGGTTTTTGCAGAACAGGGTTCTCGCGCGACCAACGTGATCGGGCATTTGTCGTCAGGCAATCGTTCCTGATTGTTGCATAAAAATAGAAAGCGACGTAATATTAATCGAAGGAAGCTGCTGGGCAAGGTCGGTTATCGAAAAGTCGCGAATCAACCCGTAAAAATCGTCG